CGGGATATAAATAAAAATTATTATTATTATTATTTAATAGTATCAGATGCATTTAGCCATGGAAATTGCTGCCTGGCTGCAGCACAGCTCCATCACCGCTCAGAGGGGTGCTCTGGCAATTTTTTCAAGCTGGAAAACTCCCAGCCTCGAAAAGAGACACAAGGAGTGCCTCTTGGAGCAGTCATGGAGCCGGGCTGCAGTCGGGCGGCAATTTCAGCATCTAAATGCATCTGATACTATCAGGATGCTGCCCGCTTCTAATTTTAAGCTGGCTCAAGTAAGGCAGTTTATAATGTAATGCAATAATCCAATGAGAAAGGATATAGGACTTCTGCCCAAAATGATTACAATCTAGGGCTTGTCAGAGAGAGGAACAACAAAAGGCAGGCAGGGAAGAAAAAGCATTAGCCACTATGGGAAGAGTGGAGCACTTCTCAGCGTCCATGTTCCAGTGGTAAGCAGAGTGAAAGCCAAAAATGCCAACATAGAACCATAGACTCGTAGAGTTGAAAGAGACCACAAGGGCTGACCCATCCAACCCTCTGCCATGTAAGCAGATGCAGTCAAAGCTTCCTCGACAAATGACCATCCAGCCTCTGTTTAAAAATCTCCAAAGAAGGAGACCCCACCACTCTCCAAGGCAGCGTTTGTGTATGTTGAACAGCTGTTAGTGTTAGGAAGTTATTCGTAATGTTAAGGTGGTATCTCTTGTCCTGTAATTTGCATCTATTGCTCTGGCTCCTAGTCTCTGGAGCAGCAGAAAATAATGTTACCCCATCCAGGGTGAACAGATATCATCACCTCAAAGGAAGACAAGGCCCTGCAAAATGTTGAACATTTGAGAAAAATGTAGGGCATTAAAAAAAAAAGCTAAAAATATTAATGTAAATATAAATTCATCCTTCTTAGTCATGCTCAAAATGGAACACATTTTGAAATTCCTCTTGGACAGAAGGTTGAAATGTAGGATGTATCCTGGAAAAGGGAAATGTCTGGTCACCCTGACACCATCCTCAATATGACATCCTTTCAAATATTTAAACATGGCTATCATGTTACCTCTTTCTCTTCCCCAGGCTAAACATACCCCACTCTCTAAGCCACTCCCTGAGCCTCTCCTCATAGTGCATGGCTTCCAGACTTTTCACCATTTTGGTCGTCCTCCTCTGGGCACATTCCAGCTTGCCAATATCTTTCTTGAATTGTCAAGCCCTAAAATTCCCTGAAGTATTCCAGGTGAGGCCTGACAAAAGCAGAATAGAGTGGTACTATTACTTCCTTCAGCCTAGACTCTATACTCCTATTGATGCACCCTAGAATTGTATTGGCTTTTTAGGTGCCACATCACACTGTTGACTCATGTTCAGCTTGTAGTCTACTAAATCTTTTTTTCATGTATTTTTGTCAAGCCAGGTGTCACACATCCTATATTCTATATTTTAGTTTATTCCTCTTACAAGTAAGAAAAACATTAGAGAAGGCATTTCAACCTTTAAAAGTGGGTAACCTTTAGGAACACAAAGATTCTTTTTTAAAAAATTGTGAACCCACCCAAATGTGGTGATTTACAGACAGAGGTGTAAATATTTAGGGAAGCCTAGAGCTGAGGTTCCCTACATCCTGTCCTAGGTGTGGGGAAAAGAAAAAAAGAATGCATTAGCATCAACACCTGTAAGACAACACATATGGTGGGACAGATAGATTTCCAATTATTTGAATGTGACTATTGTTTCTAATACAGATGACAAAACTAAAGGCCAAGTCCTACAAATAACACAAATGGAGCAACTTTTTTAAAACTTTTTTTTTTTTTTTTTTTTTTTTTTACAATTAACTGAGCACCCTAGATCTTAATGTGGCTCTCATGGTCTTGGGCAGATTAGTGTGAAATTTAATTTCTGCTAATCTGTCCAAGACCAGGGAAGCACAAAATATTCTCTCTGCAGTGTTTACCCACTTTTCTGAATATAGATATATGCATGAGCGACAAATTGTGCAGCTTCAGGTTTACTAGAGTGAATATATATAGTCACATTAGGCATGGACAGAACTGCTTCATTTTTGTAAAATGGCAACAACACAACTTCAACCGTTAGCAAAAGAATATATTCTAACTTGATTTCAAAATAAATAAATAAATAAGAGAAAATAAGTTTAGACGCTCACTCAGTCAGCCCTATGGTACACAAGAAGCAAAATGGATAAGTCTTTTTAAAAATTCCTATCATCACAGAACTGTTGATAACCCAATGACTTGGAGGTCTCTCATTTGTAAGGTCACCCTATGCCAAAGTCGACTAGAGAAGGATTAACAAGCACCACAAGGGAGCTGAATGTTTTTTCTCTCTCCCTTTGCATCTCTAGAATTTGAAGACATCTTTGATGGATGCATTTACACTGTAGAAATAGTGCAATTTAGCACCACTTTGATGGTTGTTCCTGCAGAATCCTACATAATTCTGGGTTTTGCAGTTTCGTAAGGCACCAGCACTCTTTGGCAGAGAAGGCTAAAGGCTTTGTAAAACTACAAATTTCATAGGATGGAGCTATAGCATCCTTGAAGTGGTGTCAAAGTGCATTATTTCTACAGTGTAAATGCACTTCGGGATGCAGGCAGAAGAAGTTTAAAGTGTAGTGAATATAGAACCAGTTCCAGATGTTCCATTCTAATTTCAATCACTTGCTTACCTATTTAATTTATATCATGCCTTTCTCCCAAATGGGACCCAAGGCAACTCACACCTGAAATCAATCAAAATGCACAAATTAAAAAATAGTAATAAAAATTAAAACACAATTAAGTAAGGTAGCACATTAAAACACCAATATTTTAAAACCATATAAACGTATTTAAAACCCATGACAATTAAAAAAACAAGTGCATGTGCACCCCACTAAAGGCCTTTCCACATAGTCACTAGTCAGCTCTGCAGAAATAATTCAGTGCATTAATCTCTCCAACTGCCATGGCTCAATGCTATGGAATTCTGGGATTTGTAGCTTTGTGAGATATTTAGCCTTCTCTGTCAGAGAGCTCTGGTGCCACAACAAACTACAAATCTGAGGTTTTCACAGTATGGAGCCATAGCAGTTAAAGCGATGTCAAACTGCATTATTTCTGCAGTGCAGTTTAGACCTTAATCACCAAATTCTTGCTTAGGAGCCAATTTCATCTCTCATGGCAGAAAGTGCCATAGCCTGGGAGCAGCCACCAAAAAGGCTTTCTCCCTTGTCCTCACCAAATATGACTGTGAAGCTGGTGTAGGCAGGAGAAAGTTCACACCAAACGGTCTTAAGTCCTGGACAGGCTCCTATGGGGAGATATGGGCTCTCAGATAGTCTGGATCCAAGCCATATAGGGCTTTACAGGTTAACATTGGTGGCACAGTGGTTAAATGCCTGTACTGCAGCCACTCACTCATAGGCCATAACAGGGGTAGGCAACCTTTCCCCTTTAAGGGCTGAGGGACTTCAGCTCCCAGAATCCCAGGAGCTATTGGCCAACATGGGACTATTGGCCAACATGGCTAAGGCTTCTGGGAGCTGAAGTCCCTCGGCCCTTAAAGGGGAAAGGTTGCCTACCCCTGGGCCATAAGGTTGCGAGTTCAATACTAGCCAGGGCTCAGGCTAAACTCAGGCCTGCATCCTTCCGAGGTCGTTAAAATGAGTACCCAACTGTTGGGGGATAATGAGCTTACAGTTGTAAACAGCTTAGACATCCCATAGTGTGATATGAAGAGGTATATAAATGAAGCTGCTTTGCTTTGCTATTTAATGCACTACAGTGGGCAGGATCAAAGGGGAAAGGGCAGAACAAAAACTACTCACACATTTAAGCATAATGCTCTTAGTGCCAGTACTTAAGCCATAGGAAAATGATATCAACCTTACAAAAATGGTGGTGGTGGTGGTGGTAGTGGTGGTGGTGGTATGGAATGGCATTGTACAAAAGCTGGAAAATCATCAAACAACAGCAACCTGCAGAAATGGGCAGGCTGTCTGGGGAAGCCCAGAGGACTAGACTGGGATTCCAGGAGGATCAGGTTCCATAACAGAGGCTGAAATTCCCTGCCCCTTGTAGAATTTCCAATAAATCACAATTGTTCAGCAATCTTTTGCTTCTCAGGATGGTGGAGAGACTTTAGCATGGAAGAGGTGGGCTATAAGGAACTGATGAGACAAAGGTCTACAATCTAGTTAGCACACCTTCCATAGAAGCCGCAACATGAATTTCTTAGTTCCCTGTCAGCTTTTTGAAAAGAGAATCTGTTGTGCTAAACTGGGTGACAAGACAGAACTATTATTCTTATTGTGTATCAAATAATGACTTGTTATGGATATTATGTTCCATAAATAATAGGAGTAACACTATTTGGAATTGTAGGGACAGCAGTGAGGTCCAAGTACTACTACATCTACAACACTGGCAGTTGGCGCCAGGCAAGATAAAAGGGGGTAGGAATTGCAGTTTGTTTGTTTGTTTGTTTGTTTCCCCCCTCTTATTAGAATATATAAATACACAGAGAGAAACCTATATTTTGTTTGGAAAACGGGCTTTTCCAAGATGATGTGAGGAAGGATTTCAATTTGGTCCTATGACAAACCCTTAAATTCTTTCATAGTTCAACAGAGTCCCAGGGGTGTCAGGTTACTTGGCACCATATTGATAGACCAAGGGATGATGCAGATGGCCCTTTTGGGATGGCTCTGGGCCATCCCTAGGAGTGGCAGATCAGGGTCGCGGCAACCACACGCTGTGGCCCCGATCCCCTATGCCAAAAGGGCACTCTAACTCCTTGTGCCATGCAGATGAGCACATGGCATCAGGGCAGAACTGGGGTGGGCAGCAGGTGGTTGCCCCACCCCAAATCCACCCCCAGGCCAGCCTAAACTGCCAGTCTGCATTGGCCCTAAATAAGTGTATCATGCACTTTGTCTTCGGACGTCATCACACTAGGCTCGTAATGCACCATAACTGTGTTAGTTTAGGAAATGCAAGAGCCAGTGTGGCATAGTGGTTTGAGTGTTAGTCTACAACTCTAGAGGCCAGGGTTTGATTCCCACCTCGATTCCTAGCCCTGAAACCTATTGGGCAGCCTTGGGCAAATCACATGCTCTCAATCTCAGGGGAAGGCAGTGGCAAACCCCCTCTAAACAAATCTTGCAGGGAAAACCCCATGGTAGGGGTTGCCTAGAGTCACCGTAAGTTGAAAATTATTCGAAGGCACACAGCAATAAGGAAATGCAAACATACCAGGTTGGGGACACTGAACTCATTATCACACAGTTCTTCTGAATAGTCATGGTGATGTTTCTGTCCTGGTCACTGCCTTCCTCCTGCTGGCCTCCAAATCTCCCTGCCCTAACACCCTCCCAGCATATCTTTCACTTTGTTTTTATTTTTAGTGCAGTTGTGCACAATCCATTAAGTTAAAAGGAAGGAAGGAAGGAAGGAAGGAAGGAAGGAAGGAAGGAAGGAAGGAAGGAAGGAAGGAAGGAAGGAAGGAAATTGTGGGAGGGGCAAAAAGAAAAAACAGTCTGTTTGGGAATAGCAAGGGGGGAGAGAGAAGGAGAGGAGCATGCATACCCATCCATATCATATCGAATTCGAAACTGCTTCACACTTGAGTCAACAGAGAAAATGCAGTATGATTGGGAAGGATTGAGAAGAGTGCTCTAGCAGTGGTTGGAGTACAGACTAGCTACTGGATATAACCAGAATGGCCAGATGCTACTATCCTACTGTAATTCCACTTTTCAAGCCTCATGTGATAAAGTCCTTTGATATCACACTCCACATGTCATCAACCTTTTAGAATGGTCCTCCCACTTTCCACTGACAAGGGTCCTTTTGAGATTCAGGTTTAAGGTTGAAAAGAAGATGGATATGCTTCCTAGGAAATTTCTTATTTGCTGGCTAAGCCATCAGGGATATAACACAACTGGTCAAAATAACTTTCTCCATTAGGGGAATGGCTTTTATGCTCCTAGCAAAGTGGAAAGCCTGATCACTTGTCAAGGCATTTCCTAATAACATCTACTTAAAAATCAAAGTGCACATTGTCCTCTCAGATCTTTCTCTCTGCTATAAAGTTTTCATATGCTCAGGAACCAAAGATTCTTCTCAAGAAGGTAGCATACAATATGCTGCATTAGTCTGACTTTATTTATTTCAAAATTGCAGATTTATTGTGTGTAATCATGGTCATCTCTAGTTTTCTCCTTTCCCCCCTCCTCAAAGAAACATTGTATTTGGTAATATAGCTACACTGTTTTCAAAGGGACCTTCCCCATACAGAGGACCATATGGTAGCAAAATAACCACTTTTATTTTAAGAACTTTCACGAGTTTTTTTAAAAAAATTAATTACGCTTTTTGTTTCTGGTGTTAAAGGAAAAAATATGTCATAGTTTGCTATATTTGACATTTAATTTAACAGAAAATTCTTTATCAGAAGATGTTCCCAGAAGATGTGCCAATGAATTAATGCTGGTGTTATGCCTGCTACAGTGAGTGCAAAATTTGCACATATTTTATTCCTTTTTTCAAAGTCCAAATATGCAAGCAGGAAGTGAGTTGACCCATGCATCAGCACCTGCTTCTCAGAAGAACTGCTGACAAAAGAATTGCTACTGCTGAAATAACACAAACATTTAGTTTTGTATGTTATATTAAATTGCACTCAGTTTGTTCCCTGATTTTTTAAAAAACACACATCTAATGGCTCAGAGTGATAAAAGTATATATAGACTCAGAGTTGGTCAGCAATAACATTGGTAACTGGGTTTCATGTACAAATAGGGACTTCCAAGCTGTTTCCAAGAATATTATGGGTTAGATTGATGTTTACAGCCAAAGCTGGGCTTGAGTGCTTTTCCATTAAGTATCTGACAATGCTCCACCCTGACTTTACTATCCAGGGGCAATTTGCTCCCCATTTCTTTCTTTCAATATAGTAAAGCAAGGTGTCACAAAAGCTTTCTGAACAGTAGCAAGAATGCTCTTTGTGGATAAACAGGTGTCCCCTGATTTTCTAACAATTTTGGATATTTTCAAGAAGAGCCCATCCAAATTGGCTCACTAAACCACCATGGGAACTTATCTGCTGTCCTGCTTTGGGGTTCCATACTAAAGGCTGCCCTACCATGTTCCAACTTGGTCAGTTTTACTTCAAATAATCCTTATTCAGCCCCTTGGACAGGAAGCAGGCATCTTGCTTAATGCTAAACCTTATAGGTGGAAAACAAGCTTCTTTCATTCATAGGTAATCCACAGAGCTGAACTGAGACTTGACAATCATGACGATGAGATAATAAAATGTATTTACATTCAGCTTGTGACAAATGCAGGTTTTAATTCTGTCTGGTGCAGCAATAGTTGTGCCTGTCCTTTATGATATCTAGAATCCATATTCTCCCCCACATCCTGGCTCACTGTTAATCACATATGGGCAGGTGACAAGTCTTTGTATTTCAAATCCCCCCCTTTAGGAGTGCTTTTATTTTATTTTATTTTAATTCACATCTGCAGCTTCTGTAGGTTGATAGTCAGAGGGCCATTGAGATAACATTATCATATGTGCATGTATAGTCCCTTGCACTTCTCTTGGAATCTCAAGGGTGGGTAGGGGTTAAAGAAAGAAAGTATGATTTAAAAAACCACAGCCAAAACATTGATTATTAAAATGGCTTCATCATTCTGGAAGTCTGGTTTTAATTACAGAAAGTGAGCCCTCACTTAGAAAATATTTTACAATTTTGCAATAAAGATTATGACAGGATATAATGCTGACAAAATCATGTGATACAGTCTACAGAGAGCAACTGCATGGGGGCCAGGGGTCTATTCTGCCCCCCCCCCAACTATCTCTTAGGCTGCACTATCCCACAGCAAGCACAAACACCTCCATTTTCCTCTTCTGTCCCTCTCAAAATGGTGAAAGGAACATTTTACTTATTTGGATGCTCATATGTTGTTGAACATATGTTGTTGAATCCTAGCATTTTCAGCCAGTATGGCCAAAGGACTAGAGTGCTGTAAAAACCATGTCTGGTAACCCATGTTCAGGATTTTTTTTCCATAGGTTATGGAGCTGGGAAGCACAAGATGTGGGAGATCAAGCCTGGTCAGTAAAGTAATAATAATAATAATAATAATAATAATAATAATAATAAGAATAAGAAGAAGAAGAAGAAGAAGAAGAAGAAGAAGAAGAAGGTTTATTTATATATCCCACCTCTCCCTGCGGATCGAGGCGGGAGTACAAAGGTAAACATTACAACAAGCTAAAACATAACAATAACCCAACAAATGAAAATGACAAAGACAAAAGCACAATAGCAATAATTAATACAATTGAATTATTAAAATTGCAATAAAATTGCAAAATTATTATTAGCTATTAAAAATTAAAATTACAATAAATTAACAAATACAAATCTATGTTGCAGATGGTGAATGCTCTTTCTTCATCTGGGAGGTCCTTAATCTCGTGTTCAATTAGGGAGATCAAATGGGTAAGCCCGCCGGAACAGTTCTGTTTTGAGCACCTTCTTGAAGGCCTCTAACATGGGGATGATATGAATCTCTTCCAGCAGGCTGTTCCATAGTTTAGGGGCCACATCCATGAATGATTTTTGGGAAGTAAATGTCAATTTAGTATTATAATAATTCAATAAATTCTTCCATGATGTTCTGAGCGTGCGGGGCAGATTGTGTGGGGAGAGGCATTCCTTCAAGTAACTTGGACCCAAGCCATATAGGCTTTATAGGTAATAACCAACACTTGTATTGCGCCTGGAAGCTAACCGGCAGCCAGTGGAAAGCTTTTAATACCAGTGTAATATGGTCTGCTCTAGATGTTCCAGCGACCAACCTGGCTGCCGCGCTGAAGCTTCCGAACTTGGTACAAAGGTAGCCCCATGTAGAGTGCATTACAGTAATCCAAATGAGAGATTACCAGGGCAAGTACTATTGCTTCAAGGTGTCCCTGGTCCAGTTAGGGGCGCAGTTAGCGAATCAGCCAAAGCTGATTCCAAGCACTTCTGGCCATCGCATCTACTTGAGATGTAAACTGTAGCAATGAATCCAGGAGTACTTCCAAGCTGCGTACTTTGTCCTTTAGGGGAAGTGTGACCCTGTCCAGGACTGGATAACAAAACTCCCTTTCCGGACCAGGGGTCCCTATTGCAAGTACCTCTGTTTTCTCTGGATTCAGCTTGATTTTGTGTTCACTCTTCCAGCCCATTACCGACCCAAAGCAGGCTTCCAGAGGAGTGACGCCATCCTTAGTCGCCGCAGTAGTTGGAGACATAGAGAAGAAGAGTTGGGTGTCATCAGCATACTGATAACCCCGCACCCCATATCCCCAGATGATCTCTCCCAGCGGCTTCATGTAAATGCATGGGGGACAGTATGGCACCCTGTGGGATGCCAGATGTCAGCTCCCTTTCATAGGAGCAACTGCCCCCCAGCCACACCATCTGGGATCTGCCCAAAAGGTAGGACTGGAGCCACTGGAGTGCAGTGCCCCCAATACCTAACTCTCTCAGTTGTCCCAGAAGGATACCATGGTCTATGGTACTGAACGCTGCTGAGATGTCTAAGAGCACCAACAGGGTCACACTTCCACTGTCTATACCCAGGTGGAGGTCATTGACTAAGGTGACCATGGCAGTCTCAATTCCATGTCCCTACCTGAATGTCCCACCATTCAGCCCTGTACTGCAGCCACTCACTCATAGACCACAAGGTTGCGAGTTCAATACCAGTCAGGGCTGAGGCTCGACTCAGGCCTGCATCCTTCCGAGGTCGCTAAAATGAGTACCCAGATTGTTGGGGGGCAATCAGCTCACAGTTGTAAACAGCTTAGACATCCCATAGCGTGATATGAAGCGGTATATAAATAAGCTGCTTTTGCTTTTTGCTTTGAAGCCAGTTTGAAATGAGTCCAGATAATCGGTTTCATCCAAGACCACCTGGAGTTGAAAGGCAACTGCTCCCTCGATCACTTTGCCCAAAAATGGTAACAAAGAAACCGATCAGTAATTGGTTTTTTCCAGGGGGTCCAG